AAACCGGTAATAATTGTTAATCACGTAACATCTGTAAAAACCATCAAGGATGTAAATACGGAAAATACGGTAAAATTGGTTTATCATGTAAAAGATGGGAAATAAGAGAAATAAGTAAATAATGGCAATTATGTAACGAGTCAAAAGTTATAAAAGACCTTTGGTTTTGCTCTTGTTAACAACAACCCTCGGGTTTTAAAACATTAAAATAAATATTAATAAATAAAATTGATCTTTTAATTAAATCAAAACTCCGTTCTTTATTAAGTTATCTTTACAAAGTTACATCGTTAAATAAATTAGTTGCATAAATTATTGCTTTTCCTTATTCAATAAATCTCCGATCCAATAAACTCGTGATTCACGTGACCCACACCGGTAGAACCCTTGCATCCTCAAACCCGACCCTCGTTAGTTAAATAATTCCTTGCATAATTAAAGAAATAAGTTAGTGATTAATAAAGGAAGGAACGATATAGAGAAAGCTATAAGATAAGAAGGGACTTATCTTACTCGACCAAATCGTACGCCTTAGCCGAGAGAGCCTTAACTGCTTAGATATTTCTTTACGTTACGCAAGAAACTTGATTCCGGATCGACAGAGTCGGATCATTTTGTTGTTTGTTGGTTGATATTTCCGCAGGTAACAAACAGTACGAACTAAAAAATAAATTTTTTTTGTTGCATTATTTATGATTGCCACTGTTTTGAGGTAGCACTATTTTCAGATAAATATCTGGTGTACACTAGTAAAATTTAGAACTGGTGTATTACAAAAGTTTTTCTGGTTTTGTTTTTTGATTTGGCATTCTTAATTTATTAAAGTTGTTTTCAAAAATAATATGCGCAAGAAAAAAGGTCATATAAAAAAAAAAATTTAGCGTAAGGAAAAAGAAAATATCAGTGTAATATCACAGGACGTTAGGCTCCAGGAAATATATAAGATATTAAATGGATTTATCATGAATAAAAATCATGATATCCACAACAAACCATTTAATATCAATTACATATAAAAAAATATTTATTAGATAAATTATTAAGTTTATAAATAACATAGTTCTTTTAAACAACTTTTATTCAATATATGATAACAGATAATGACGATAATGCTTTAGTAAGAAACGCCTTATGTTTCATTCGGATAATAATATGCGATTGTTTGAGAATATGATATTAATTTGCTACGTTAAATTATCTACTTAATTTAAGTAAAAATCTGAATTATTATAAATTTAAATTTTATTACTATGTGTTGAAATAGTCATTGAATGAAGTAAACATCAGAATATTAAAATTTTCGTATATAGACCGATTTATAAATATTTAACAACTAGATTACCGTATCATGTTTTATAATTTCCAAAAATGAGTTAACCTCTTCTTTTTGAAGTTCATTATCAACTTACAAGTAAAATTATTAGTGGGTAATAAATTTATAATCATAATTATTATATTATTATTTAAAATTAATAAAAAAATTGATTTAAAAATAAACTTACTCATTGCCTTTAAACCACTTCCAAAATTTGCTACTATCAAGCATGCATAATAATATGTAATCTTTTTGTATTATAAATTAATAGTTTTATAAGAACCTTCTATTTATTAAATAGTAATAATTAATTAAATCTTTAACTTACGAGGGCAGCTATTAACGTTATAGCAACTATATTAGGTATTAAAAAAAAAAAGTAAGCTATTAAAAATTATTTAATTATTTAATTTATTCTATTAAATATAGCACGTACTTATGAATATCCAAAAATACCATCCACTAGAAGCAGCAGAAACTCCATCCTTTATCAAATAAGCGAAATCAATAATAAAGAATACCATGAACACAAGAAATATGTACATTCCAACTTTCCATTCTCGAATAAACTAAAAAAAAAAAATTATAAGTTAATATCACTTAATATAAATGAAAAATTGGATTAAGTAGAAAAATACCGAATTAAAAGCGAGGATCACGGCAAAAAATGAAAGTAATAAAATTGTAGAGTGAATTATGTAAATAATTATAAACATCATCGATTGTTTGCCGAGAAAAGGGATTATTGCAGCTGTTAATGAAGTATTTATGACAACCAAAAATGCATCTAACTTTAGCATCATAACAAAAACGAGCATTCTTCGATAAAGAGCTATAAAAAAAAATTAATTTAAGACAATACTGTATTCAGAAAAGCATGTACTTATTCATCGAATTTACCTCGACTATTTTGTTCTTCTTCGAACTTTTTATTCATTTTCTGTTCAAATAGTATAAACAACCTCCAAGTTAAGATTATATTCACTGTTACAAAAACTAAGGAAATAATAATATTTGGATATTCATATTGTTCATAATTTGGAGAAAGTCTATAAACTCCTGGACAGTCAGTAGATATAATATCTAATTCATTTTCAAGTTCACTTTGTTGGACCTAGTAAAAAGTTATGTTACTGAAAGAGTATTTTTACTATATACGTTAGGAAATATAAAAGAATGATAAATCACAATTCCATATAGAGAGCTCGCAATATTAAGTCCAAGTATCATGAATATTTGAATCATGTTTTGGTGAATTACCTATTACAGTAAATTATAAATTAAAATTACGACAGTATTTCATTCAATAATTATATTCTTACCGCATGTAAACAAAAATAAACTTGGACAATTTGAAAGAATATAAAACAAAAATTTTCTGCAAACAATAATGTAAGCCTAGTTTCAGCTAAACCCATTTCACATGAAGTAGCAAGAGTTCGATTTTGTTCTATATATGCTTCCATTTGGTCACTAAGTGAAGTATTACGCAAAAACATTCTTAGCTGAAGTATTATGAGAGTTATCGCTTGAAGTAAGGATGTTATAACAAAGCATTTTGTGGCATTCGATTGCGTAATTCTTGTCCACTTTATGTATGATCAAAAGTATTTTATCTGTTATTGTTAGTGAACATGCAAAAATGTATCAACACGGAAAACTTACTTACTCTCTTATGCCAACTTTTCCTAAAAGTTTCTAAAAACAACATTTTGCGTTAAATTGCTAGCGCTAGATCTCGAAAAAACTCCGAGTAAATGCATTTTATTTCCTGTTGAATATGTAAATCAATCGTCAAAAAAGATCGATCACTAATTTGTAAACGATTAATCTGAAAGGAGTAGCGATCGAACATAATAGAGGCTATGGAGGCTGTGTTTTAGTAAAGAATTGCGGCAGTGTTTTAAGTGTTTTAGCTAATAATAACGATAACATTCCGGATTAAATTTCGTACTACCAGCATTAATGATGCCTGACGAATGACGAAACTTTCGTCAGTGACGAATGACGAAACCATTTCGTCAGGCAACTTCGAATTGACGAAATGATGAATGACGAAACTAACGACGAATGACGAAACTCATGACGAATGACGAAACTCATGATAAATTATAAATTTTATATGTAATATAAGAATTTAGGCATAATAAATTCAAAATACGATTTATAACGATAATAGTGTCCATGTGAAATTAATTTTTGGTTCGATATCTACCCAGTTTCTTTTTTTTTCGACACGTAAATCCGACATTACCCGATGATTTATGTACATCACCCGGATATATCCGATGGGTCTGATGAAGGAAATCTACTGACAATAAAAAGAATTATCGGCTTCGGATTCAATGTAAAGCTAAAATTAAATTTGTATGAGCTTATTAATTTTGTAGAGATAACTTTTTATAACGAACTGACTATTTAATAGAACAGTAGAAAAGTTCGTTGTCAATTAAAAAATTATTGTTTTTATATGAACTGATGAATCTTAACAATGATGAAATAACAGTAATTTAGAAAAAATATGATTCAGAATATCCAGAGGTCGTTATAATGAAGCTTATCTACTGAGGGTCAACTGTATTTTGATATTTTATTAGTCAAATTAATTTCGTCAGAAGTTTCGTCAATCGTCAGTAATTTCGTCAAACGTCTGTAGTTTCGTCATTCGTCAAAGTTTCGTCAGACGAAACTATTGGCAAAACCATTTCGTCAGGCAAAAATAATTTCGTCAGGCATCATTAAACAACACTGATCATTGTAATAATCAATAATGTTTTTTTGCTGTAATAACTGTATTGTATTATTAATAAAAAAAAAATAAAACCTTCACTTAAAATTTTTTAATAAAACTTTCGCTTAAATTTTTTTTAAATAAAACTTTCGTTTAAAAATTTTCGCTTAATTTTTTTAAAAAACTTTTGCTTAAATTTTTTTTAAATAAAATTTTTGCTTAAATTTTTTGTAAGTATTATAAATATTTAATGAAATTTTACTATGGTTATATATAAAAAATTCAGAAAATCACAATATTATCAATAGAAACGCAGCAACTAGTGTTTCTATAAGTGGCAAGCCAATAACAAAAAATGCTAGCTTTGCACAAATAATTTTATTTGTGAATAAATATTATAAAGATAGTTGTTGGGATATTAAAATAGTAAATAACCAATAGAAAATTTATAAAAAAACTTATATAGAAACTTAAAACTTAGTTAACAAATCTGAATAAGAATTAACAAAAAAATATTGTGGCAATAATATTAATACTATTGAAGCAAAATTAAAAGATTTATATCTATATTATAGCAGAATTGATATAATTTATAAAGAAAAACAAAATATTTAACTTACTTATCATGAAAATTTTGGTTTAAATAATAAAATATTAGAAGATAATAATAATTTTAATTTTATAAATTAATAATTTAGATCAAAATAAAACTGAATTAAACAATAAAAGAGTATAATTTATATTATTATTTAATTTTAATATTAATAATTTATTTAAATTAATATTAATTATTAAAAAGATAATAGACAAAATAAATTATTGTTCAACAAAACTCTTTCTGATGATCACTTTTACCAAAAAATTTCATAATATAAATGTAACTTTTTATATTAAAAATTTTTTATTTTAAGTAAAATTTGTTACAAACTATATCGTCAATGAAGTGAGAAGTTTAGCTAAGATGACAGCATGAATAAGAACTTCAGTTTTTCATAGTTTTAGTAGAGGTCAAACTTTTTTTCTGGTGGACTTCTCTATACTATTTGGCATCCAAGCTAGATAGAAAGGTGTTTCTAGTAGTATAATGCTTTGGCAAGGAAGTCTTATTATAGAAATTTGGAAAATAAAAGTTGCAACACACTCTCTAGATTATAAAAAACTAAAGTAAATTCCTCCTTTGAACCCAACTTTACTCAATACTTTTCTGCTATACAATAAGTAGAGATTTGGCTTACCCCTTCTAAAGGATTAACATTTGTACCACTTCTATTTTGGGAATAAGTACATTGTTCTACTAAACAATAATAAAACATATATCTTAGCCAAATAGCAAGTCATACTTAAATATGTATTTAGATTGAAGACACAAAGCCAGAGTACGTGTTTGATAACAACAAACTGGATTTAATTCAAAAATTGTTTATTATAAGAGATATATTTTAGTAGCTATTTCTATGCAACCTCTAGTTATAGATATATAATTTTTATACAGTATTCTAGAAGCAGAATACTATCTTTTTGTTTCTTTTTTTCTTTTTATTATATTGCAAAGTGTTTTTTACATATTGCATATTTTCTCTTTGCAGTTTTATTATATGATACATGGTCTTAGTATCAACTATTATATATAATTTTTATTTTTTTTATACCTTTTTCTATATGAAAAACTATTATTAGTTTGGTATTAGTCTATTGTATAGGCAAGAGTTATAATGAGCTGTAGTGTCAGCTCAAATTATTAATATTTTTTCGAAAGATTAAATATTAATAGAGAGAAAAAAGATCACTATAGCAGATCGCACATAGGTACCTATAGGGTAACTGAGTAAGTTAATACTTAAAAAATTGTAGATTAGATATATATAATACAGATTACTTTGTAACTATGTATTTTAATTCATCTTTTATTAAAGACACATTACAAATAAAGTGTTGGCATGACTTGCTGAAAGGTAAAAAAAAAAATAAATTATTGTTTATATTAAATAAAATTACTTTAGATATAAAACTTTATCAAATTAAAAAGAATTTATATAAATAATAAATAATATTTTTTAAAGTTAGTAATAATTATTTATATTAAATATTGATAACTATAACTATATAGTAGTAATTATTACTAGTATATAATTAGCTAATAAATTTTCAAGATCAGATATAATATGCAGATTAAATATTTTTAAAAAAATACTAATATTTTAAGAATTTGTCTATAAAACTATCTTTGATATTCTAACAAAAAAAAATTATTATAGTTCATGATATCTATACTTAATAGTTATACAAAGTGTTTTAATTTTTTAAATAGCTATAACTTTTTATCTAAGAAGTTTAAAAAAAATCTGACTAGTAACTTTATAAAGCTATATTAGCTCTACATGTATACTAAATATTTTTTCAAAATCTTGTTACTGTAAAAAGTTTTAGCAATTTGAAAATTGAAATTTTATATATAAATTTATAAATTTATATATAAAATTTCAATTTTTAAATTGCTAAAACTTTTTACAGTAACAAGATTTTGAAAAAATATTTAGCATACATGTAGAGTTAATATAGCTTTATAAAGTTACTAGTCAGATTTTTTTTAAACTTCTTAAATAAAAAGTTATAGCTATTTAAAAAATTAAAACACTTTGTATAACTGTTGAGTATAGATATCCTAAACTATACTAAAATTTGCATATATATAATATTTTGTTAAAATTTCAGATTTTATTTTAACTTTAAAGCAAATAAAATAAAATTATTTTATTATTTTATTATTATTAGCTAATTATATATAAGAAATAATTATCACTAGTTATTTAAAATTAAATTCTATATAATAATAATTTTAATAATTATTATAATAAAGAATTAATAGTATAATTCTATATTTTTTAATTATTTAAAATTGTTTATATATATAGTTTAGTAATCTAGTATAGTAGTTAGATTGTCAAACTGCTATATAATAGGTCTGAAGTCAAATTTTACTATCAATAAATTTGAATAATTCTTAGATCTTGTAATATATTATGATAAACTCTATTTATTTCTAATAGAATATTTTTATAAATTAAATTACACTAAATTTATCTAAACTTAAAGGTATAATGTAATATTATATGAATAAATCTTGATATGATATATGAGTAGAAGATTTGCATAGTAAAAATTCTAAGTTAGTAAAGTAGTACAACTTTTAAATAAAATTATATTATTAAAATCTGATCTAAAAAGAAAACTCAGTCTAATAAAGATAGAAGGTTTCAAAGTTTTTAGGTAAAAAATAACTAGAACTAGCTAAATATTAAAAAAAGACTAGGTTAACTAACTAGTAGAGAACTATAACAGAGCCTAAAGTTATATAAATATTTACAAGAGTCTAAGCTAAATAAATTTATAAAATAGATATAGATTAATCTAGTAAGTTTAATTCAAGATTAACTAGCTTTACAATACTAATAATATATTAAGTATAATATATTCTAAGAGAATTTATACTATTCTAAATAAATAAATTCATAATAAGTTAGCTAGTTTAAGTAGTTAGATATTGTAATGACATTAAATTGAATCTATATAGGTTAATAAACAAAATATTTAAATAAATAATTTACAGATAGGTTATAAGTATAGCAGCATAGTATAAAACTATAAAACTAATTAAGTAGCCTAATACTTATCTAGCAGACTACTTAAAATATATAATAACTAAAGTTGTATATATAACTTGTTATATACTCTTCATATAATTACAACTAGTAAAGATTATTAATATATAATCCTATTTGTAGCTCTAATAAAATTCTTTTAGTGGGGTTAGGTCCCATAGCTTAGTTGGTTAAGTCCTCAACTCTCCACAGACAAGGTCAATAGTTCAAGTCCAGTTAGAGGCATTTGCTTCTGTAATTCTTATGAAAACTATTAATCGAATACGAAGTCTTGTGGTAAAACTCATGTGAAGTACAAGATTCTAGAAAAGAAATTCCTGG